CGTCTCGTCCTCGCTCCCCGTAGTGTTTGTCTCTTACTAGCCTCCCTTATGACTTCCGCCTTCTTCTTCTCTTGTTGTTGCTCTCTTTTTTTTCATACCCCCCTCCTCCTCTCCCCTCTCTCCCGCTTTTACTGTGCGGTGTGTTGCACTTATCCGTCCTTTTTACTTCCTGCTCTTGGTGGTCCGCCAGACTCTCCCCCCCTCCTCCTCCTCCTTCTCCTCCTCCTCCTCCTTCTTCTTCTTCTTCTTCTTCTTCTTCTTCCCCAGAATGGAGGTCAGTGAGAGAAAGAGGGGGGGGGGGGTGAGAACAGAAGCGACATGGGAGGGGAATGGAGGAGGATAATCCTATCCGCCCCTTCCTCATCCCATGACCTTATCCTCTCTATAACCCCTCGTTTGTCCCCTCTTTCCTTGGGAGAGGGGCAGGGGCAGCTCGTGAGTCTAAAAAGTGGGCGTGCACAATTAAGCTATCTTAGGATGAAGATAATCAAGAGCAGAGTAAATGGGATGGTGTATAATTTTAGGATCTTTGGGTTGGTGAAGGAAGACCTTTGTGCTTTTATTTTCATTCTTTTTACTTGTGGCTTTGACTTCTAGAACTAAATCTGTTTGTTAGCTAAACGTCACAAGTAATACCTTTCACCACTCCACTACAAAACCGTTCAAAAGCACAACTCATAGGACCCTCAGGTTCACGGTCACAGAGTCATTTAAAATAGCGACAAGACAATGAACCAATCACAATTCACTTGAGCACTCCGCTGGATTGCTCCGGGGCCCACATAATTTTGGCACAGTCTATGGCGTTTATTTTTAGATTGCCTACTGTGGGCTATGTTTCGGCGCTATTCGGCTGGAGCACCTTTGAGATGTGCCGTCTTATTAATATTAATGAAGGAAGATCAATTATGGAAAACAACAGCAGCTGCAAGGCAAACAATACAGTACAGATCGACGACATTGCGAGAGATCTCCTCAAGGGCGGATTGAGAACAATTCAATGCATATATGATTTTTAAAACAAAAAATAAAGTGAAGAATGATTAGGCCCTATGCAAATATCATAACCATATTGTGTTTCTCACCTTTCATCAGGGTACAAAGGCCACGAACAATTTAATACGCTTTCCACCTTTCCCTATCTTGAACAAGCTTCTTGATGTTATTCCATGAATGTTTTCTTACTGTGACTCATATCTTCTCCAGGCTCCAATCCACGTGGTCTTCCCTTTTGATCTTTTACCCTGAGGATTCCAATCCAATACTTTCCTTGTTATGCATTTGCCTGGCATGTCCAATCCATCGATCGTCATACGCCTTTTAAATCTCTGACGGGGCTCTTTTTGTTCTCTTTAAATTCTCGTTGGCATTATTTGAGTTGAAAATCCTCAGCTTTGTTCGATTATGCAGATAAATACTGTGCATAAATTATTTACGTCATATCTCTACAAACTGAACGCATCCTCATTATAGGCGTACATGTAATATATAGGCCTAGTACAAGGAGCTTAGAACTTTCTTTTAATCTCCTTGGCCTAGTCCTAATTTTTTTAAGCTCCAATTGGCCTAGCTCTAAACTTTATCTACATTTTTTGCAAGAGCTAAATAGACTACTATAATAAAAGTCCCATTTCCTCTCTACCTCAGCAGGTGGCTACGTGCGTATACGTAATATATATATATATATATATATATATATATATATATATATATATATATATATATATATATATATATATATATATATATATATATATATATATATTTAGAGAGAGAGAGAGAGAGAGAGGGGGGGGGGAGGGAGAGGGCCGGGGGAGGGTTAAACGGGAAGCCTTTGTGTGTGTGCGTGTCATGGACGCGAAGTAGCTTCGTTTGCTGTTATCGGTACACTGTGAGTCGTACTGCTTGAGAACAAACCTTCAACACATCGTTATGTGTAAGTCACACAATTCTACACTTTATAGAATTCTCTGGTGTAGGCCCTAATAAGTGTCAGCCTGTTACTGTTTCAGTTAGTCGATATAGAGTTTTGTTTCGGCATCTTGCGTAGCTACCGTGCTTTATTTTACATTAACGGAAGTAGAATGAAGGCGGCGCGCCAAATTTAGGAATGAAAGGAAAGGAAAATAAAAAGAGGGAGGGCACACAGTGTGATTGTGTGATTGATTATAACTGATTGTCTGCTAGCTAACTGGTCATTTGTTCTTTCTGTTGGATATAGATCTAGATCTATTCTCTATTTGTGAAGTAGGGAATACATCACAAAATTAGAGATGAAAGCGCTGAAACTAGCTCACAAGGAGGGCCATACGGAGGTTTGTTATGATTCGTCAGGAAGGTGAGTTAGGCAAGAACTAGATATCTAGATATATCTAGATCTAGATCTAGATCTAGATCTAGATTAGATTCTAGATCTCTAGAGATGTTAGAAATACAAGTTGACTCTATTCTGTGTCAAATACTTCAGAGCTTTTTCTGTAGATCTAGAATCTAGATCTAGATCTAGTTCCCACCCCACAATTGTTATTCGCCGGTTTTGGCCCCAAGAGTTAGGAGGGGGGGGTTTCAGGGGGGGGTTTCGGGGGGGGGGGAAGATTGAAGAATACCGGACCAGTCCACTCGTACATTATTGCCTTCCTAATAAATCAAATGCAGTGGCAGTGGCTACGTTCACGGTACGTAGCCTGTAGTCCTGTAGCTAGATATCTAGATCTAGATCTAGATTCTAGATCTATGTACACGTTTTATTTTTGGTAGTTCCCACCTCATATTTGTTATTCGCCGGTTTTGGCCTTAAGAGTAGGGGGGCTTCGGGTAAAAATATGATGGGGGGTTTCATGCCCCCCTGAATTTTACCATAATTTATGTTTTGCAGTTGTTAGTAGGTTTGAATATCTTAGCGTCTTAGCTCGCCGCGCATCAAACGTATAGATCTTGATGTAGGTCAGGTTCAAATAAAAGGCAAGGGGGGTGGGAACTACCGAAAAGCACCTAAATCTAGATCTGATCTAGATCTAGATCTATTTAATATTTTGGATGCACCCTTATGTTAGCGCATGACGGCCCGTGATATATACGAGTGTAAACAAATGTTCCAGCGCTCTTGAGTTGAAAGTGTGCAAATTTGTCAGCGCTTTTTCGGTAGTTCCCACCCTGCAATTGTTATTCGCGGGTTTTGGCCCCAAGAGTTGGGGGGTTTCAGGGGGCTTGCCCCCCCCTGACCTAATAAAAATAAGGTGGGGGTTTCAGGGGGGCATGCCCCCCCTGAATTTTACCATAATTTGATGTTTTGCAGTTGTTAGAGAGGTATGATAATGATCTTAGCTCGCCGCACATCAAACATATAGATCCCGATGTAGATCTAGATATAGACTCAAATAAGGGGGGTGGGAACTACCGAAAAAGCACCAATTTGTCTGCGGGCAGTATGTGTGTGTGTGTGTGTGTGTGTGAGAGAGAGAGAGAATGGGGGG